ATCGCTACTAGGAACAAGAGGACGCTACTAGGGGCTCCTGGCCATACTACTAGGAGCAAGGACGCTACTAGGGGCTCCTGGCATCGCTACTAGGAACAAGAGGACGCTACTAGTAGCAAAGGGCATCGCTACTAGGAGCCAGCACGCTACTAGCCTGGCCTTACTACCGGGAACAAGAATGCTACTCTTTTTTTAGCTCGATGGCCTCCACCCTATATAATAGAGATGGCCTCCACCCTAGTAGCGATTCCACCCTAGTAGTGATGGCAATGCAAAACAATAGAAGCACAAAGAGTCGTCTTGGCATGTCTTGGTACCACAAAATCCTGAGTATGTCATTGAATGCCATGCAAATAAAGGCAGAATGGTCTCAGCCGGTGCCTGACTTGGCCTGAAATCTTCATCAAGGGGTACATATTGTCACAGGTACATGTTTTCTGAAAAAGTTGAAAATGGCTGGGACTGCGACGCGTCCACTTCAGTCTCTGGATAGTTTTGCAAAAACTGCTGGACCTGAGCTTCAGCTGAGGGTTGGCGTTTCGGATGCAGCAAGAAAGGTTCTTGCTCAGTGTGCCAAAAGATTGAACTTTGTGTAAAAAAGACTAGTAGGAACAAGTGCCACGCTAGTAGTAACAAGTGCCTCGCTAGTAGTAACAAGAAGCTATTAGGAACAAGTGCCTTACTAGTAGTAACAAGGCTTATTGCCTTCCCCAGGCCCCGAATCACTGAGGGCAGCTCCTCCACATTCTCATACACTCCTGGCAAGGATGTGTCCCAAGGTGGACTGAAAAGCGAAGCGGAAGCGATCTGTGTCAGCGGAAGCGATCTGTGCTATTATTTTTCTGAACTAAGAAGGGTTTTGATGATGCGAAAGGGGTCTCCCCCATGTCAGAGCCTACCATATCGAGCAGTTCTCCGCTGAGTGACTTTGGCCCTGCCCCGTTGGGAAGCTATCCTTTCAAACTACGCTTGATGAGTTCTTCTCTTTTGGTATTTTATCACCATGAAATAGTCATAACGAATCTAGGAGCCACTTCCTTGACCAAAAACAGCAAGCTGGAACCACAGGTAGAAGGCCTTCTGCAGTTCCCACCCTCACGTGGCCTTGTGCATTGGCTTGCACCATACCCGGCTGCGGCGGCGGTGGAGGGGGCGGCCTGGTCCGACTAGGCGGATGGTCCAAATCCAAAACAGATTCCTCAATCAGACCTCCACCCTACTAGCGATGTGTGACGTGACAAGGGGCTAGAAGCTTCTTGTTACTAGTAGAGATGCACCTTACCACTAGTAGCTTCTTGTCACTAGTAGTAATGCACTTGGAGCTCTCAGGGCAGGACGGTGGCAAGTTGCACTGCGCTCCAGCAGCAGCACCTGCAAATCTTCAAGCGCAATGTCGGCAATGCCAAACAGAATTGAAACAGCTTATGAAAAGGAGCTGCTAGGGGCTCCTGGCCTTACTACTAGGAGCAAGGACGCTACTAGGGGGCTCCTGGCATCGCTACTAGGAGGAAGGACACTACTAGGAGCAATGAAAAGAAGACTCGGAAAAAACCGTTTCCAAGAGGACCAACACATGATGCTGATGTGTCAGATTTAATTGACAAAGCAAGGTACCCCGTGATGGTGAGGGATCAAAAAAACATCAAATATCGATATTTCAAAACAAACTCAACGAAATGAACATATAAAAAGAAGAACCACTTCTTCTTGTTGCTAGTAGCCATAGCTTCCAACCTAATAGCGATGCCCTCCACCTAGTAGCTTCTTGCTACTGGAAGAAGAAGGACCACTTCTGCTTAGTCTTCTTCTCCTAAATTCACGTTCTTTCCTCTTTGCAGTTCGGCGAGCCGCGCTCTGCCGGGCTGCTCCTCCCGTCTTCGCGGCTATGCGGGGCTTGCCGTCCCCAAAACAGCAAACAAGCTTGCAAACATGGTTTAACGCAGCGGACCTTGACATGCACATCTCGCAAACTGCAGCATTTAGCAGTCAAACTACAGATTGTCTGGCAGCTTACTCGCCTTGGTGGACCTTGAAACATGCATTTTGTGTATGTCGAAGTGCAGATTTCGTGGCAGGTACAGCACTTGGTAGACTGCGAAGTGGCAATTTCGTGGCAGGCAAAGTCCAGGTTTCTGTCTTTGTCATGCCTTGTGAGATTTGATGCCTTGTCCATCAGTAAAGTCTGCGTTGGCTTGTGACGGACCACCGCACGGTCCACGGACCACCGCCATGGACAGCGTTGAATCTCCTTCCTTTCTCCTGAGACCATCTTGGCCACCAAAAACAGGAAACAAACACACTCGGCCTCCACCATAGACTTGATATTGCTCCATCATGCTGAAGCAAATGGCTAGGACGCAAAACCAGTGTTTGGGTCGTTTTGCTCACTCTGGCCAGATTAAAGCCAGGGGCGAAACACCGCTTTGCCCATGTATGCGAGACACCAGTGTGGGTGTATTGACGTCTACAAAGGAGATTGAGTGTCATTGATCTGGTTGGGGTCTGTTCTTCGTTTGAGTACATCTGTTAGAACGCGGTGATGTACATCTGTTGCTTCGGGCAAAAACACTCCATTCTCCAATTCTCCAAGAACCAAGCCCAGCAATATCTTGAGCAAGCAGGTCGCAATGGATCAAGCTGTATCAGTCTGGGTCACTGTGGTCTGATTGGAAATGTTCACAAGCGAATGCCTCACTCAGCCATCTCGAAAGACTATCCAAATCAATCAAATGTAACGTCTAGGTCTTAGGATGTCTTAGGCCTTATCAGTTTTCTCGAAAGGGCCAATGTACTTTGTCACTGGCTCTCCAAACCTTGCAGCTCCACCAAGTGATCCAAGCAGAACGTATAGCTACTGAGTTTCTGAGAATGAGAAAAAACCGTTCTTTTGATTTAAAATAAAGGTAAAATACAACTAAAGAATAAAAAGTGTCTTAAGAATTTTAAGGATATAGCTGCTAATATATATATATATATATACAATGTCGTCTTCTTCCGTGTGGCCTTCGGACTGCTTGGACCAGAAAATGGAACTCGACATTAACGAAAGCATCTCAGCTCAGCCCTCGATGGTGTTTGTTAACCTTAAACGAGGCGCGCCCAACGTACGAACAGCACGACACCGGTTGAGATGTCCAACGACCGGGAAAGGAGCCCCTAGTAGCTTCTTGTTACTACTAGTAAGGCACTTGTTTCTAGAAGCT